TTACATTAACACTGAACTTTGGCGGCGAGGAAGTTGTACCGGATAGAAGGGGTTTCAATATTTCGTCCATCTACGGTACCAAGTGGGTTGGGCGGCATGCCCCACACCCGAGTTGGTACTGTCTCGCTCTCTGATGTTTTCACATCTTTTGGTCTCCAAACTCTGTTGTGGAAACATCACGCTGCATGCTGCTGATCTTATTCCAAACTGCACAAAACATTGGCTTTTCACAAGTATATGCCTCCTGTCTGTCTCCCATCCCCTTTTTCGTATTCCCTAATTCGCAACTTATTCTTAACTGCACAAAACATTGTGTCTTCACAGGTAAGTGCAACCTTTGTGTTTCCCGTCCAGTTTTTTCTATTCCCTAATTCGCAACTTATTCCAAACTGCAAAAAAATATGTCAAACGAATTAGTCGTGAAACTTATTCCAACATGCGCAAGACATTGCGTTTTCACAGGTAGATGTGCATGTCTCTCTCGTCCCGTTTTTTCCTATTCCCTAATTCACGACTAATTCGTTTGACATATTTCTTTGCAGTTTGGAATAAGAATTAGGGAATAGAAAAAGGCTGAGGAATGATTCTGAAACCAAGGATGATTCTGCAACCAAAACGGGATGATTCTGAAACCAAAACCGGATGATTCTGAAACCAAAACCGATGATTCTGCAACCAAGAATGATTCTGAAACCAAAAAAAAATGATTCTGAAACCAAGGATGATTCCGAAACCAAGGACACCTGGAAACCAAAATGGCATGGTTTAGCAATGAAGCGGTGTGCATTTCTGTTTTTTTCGAAGCATCGTCTTGGCTGTGTCACCTAGATACATGCCTGACCTTGCTAATTCGCTCAGAAATTTTTGAAAAGGAAGGAACGCAGCTGCCAGGACGTTATTATCCCACCCCACCCCACCCCACCCCCCCGCATCTGGAGACGATGCCATGTTGAGTGTGGCTGCAAGTGTTGTCAGAGGAAGGAACGCAGCTGCCAGGACGTTTTATCACCCCACCCCACCCCACCCCACCCCACCCCGCCCACACAACCCCCACCCCCCGCATCTCGAGACGATGCCATGTTGAGTGTGGCTGCAAGTGTGTCAGAGGAAGGAAGCAGCTGCCCAGGAGTTTTATCCACCCCACCCACCGCATGCCATGTTGAGTGTGGCCACAAGTGTGTCAAAGGAAGGAACGCAGCTGCCAGGACGTTATTATCCACCACCACACCCACCCACCCAAGCCCACCCCCCCGCATCTGGAGACGATGCCATGTGAGTGTGCCGCAAGTGTTGTCAGAGGAAAGGAACGCAGCTGCCAGGACATTATTATCCCACCCCACCCCCACCCCACCCCCCCCCCCCACATCTGGAGACGATGCCATGTTGAGTGTGCGCAAGTGTGTCAGAGGAAGGACGCAGCTGCTAGGACGTTATTATCCACCCCACCCCACCCCAGCCCCCCGCATCTGGAGACGATGCCATGTTGAGTGTGGCCGCAATTGTGACGCGGATGTTGGTTTCTGAGTTGTGCGGATGGTGGTTGGGGAATGGCCTTTTTTGGGTTGCGAATTCCTCTTGTTTTGGTTGCGGAATCGCCTTTTCTTGGTTGCGGAATCGTCTTTTTTTGGTTGCGGAATCGCTTTTTTTTGGTTGCGGAAGCGCCTTTTCTTGGTTGCGGAAGCGTGTCTGATTTTGGTCGCGGAATCGCCGAAATTTGGTTGCGGAAGCGTCGAAATATGGTTTCGGAATCGGAATTTATTCAAAGAAAAAACTGGACGGGAAACACAAAGGTTGCACTTACCTGTGAAGACACAATGTTTTGTGCAGTTAGGAATAAGTTGCGAATTAGGGAATAGAAAAAGGGGGACGGGAGACAGACAGGAGGCATATACTTGTGAAAAGCCAATGTTTTGCGCAGTTTGGAATAACTGTCTCATGCCGTTCAAGTCGCAAAATGCATTGGTACGGGCACGTCAAACGACTTTTTCGTGAATTAGGGAATAGGAAAAAATGGGACGAGAGAGACATGCACATCTACCTGTGAAAACACAATGTTTTGCGCATGTTGGAATAAGTTGTGAATTAGAGAGAAGGAAAAAATGGGACGAGAGACACATGCAGGATTTACCTGTGTTGCAGTTTGGAATAAGTTGCGAATTAGGATGAATTAGGGAATAGGAAAAACTGGAAGGTTGCACTTACCTGTGAAAACACAATGTTTTGTGCACTTAGGAATAAGTTGCGAATTAGGGAATGCAAAAAAAGTGGACGGGAGACAGACAGGATGCATATACTTGTGAAAAGCCAATGTTTTGCGCAGTTTGGAATAAGATCAGCAGCATGCAGCGTGATGTTTCCACAACAGAGTTTGGAGACCAAAAGATGTGAAAACATCAGAGAGCGAGACAGTAGGTTTTGAAACAGAGAATTTTAGGGAAGATTCATTAAGACCAGGTGTTAGGTTTTGGGAGGCAGGCGTTTAAATTTTGTAACATTTCAAATATTTTTCGAAAAGTGCAATGGCAATGTTTCATCGCGACCCATTGCAAACCCATTGGCGCGTCAAACTATGCTGTGCATATTCACCAGCAAGTCCAAAAGAATTTGATCGCCATATGTTTCTTGATTCATGATCTTTCTTGGGCCCTGACATGTTTTGGATTCATCCGTCGCCGCTTCTTCAGACCATAGAATTGGAAACTGATTTGTTCATGAGGCTGCCAAGTCGTGGCTAGCAAGAAGGCTGGCTGAAAGAAAAGGAACAGGCAACAAAAACACTGGCGGGCAGATTGCTCTGTCTGCCAGTTTCTGTCTGCCAGTCTCTTTCTTGCAGCCAGCTTCTTTTTGCTGGCCGTGGAGTGGAGGCCCGAATCTGCGACTCCCTCCCAAGTCAAAGCAGGTCCATGGCACGGGTACCAGCGTCCCTGCTGACATATAAATTTCATGCTCAGCTACCAGCTTCTTTGCTTGCTTCATTTTGGGACAAGATGATCCGGCTATTTTCCTGAGCTATCTCAACCTCAACACCTTTGAGGTTGGAGCCGCTCACGTGGAAAAAAAATATCGAAATTGTCGAACGGTGGCGCCGCGTCCCATCTCATAACCATGAGGCTGGGCGCCTTACTCCTTTTATGTTTGAATTTCAGGTGGTGTGAGGGCATATGCTAGAATCTAGTCAAATCAATTTTTTGATCGACCCACCCGAACCCTTTGGCGCTTGCCAACACAGCTTCGACGCTGAACGATGTGAAATTGCACGGAGAATATGGGAGAAGTGTGCTTTGATTATTTGTAAGAAGCCTGGAAATTTGCACAAGATGGCCAACCCGCCGATGTACTTATGGATTCTTGCCTGGGCAAACAGTTTCTCTTCAACGTACTACCCCATTATGTGCTAAGCAGGTGTTTTCAACCCTTGCGCAAGTCAACTGGAAAGTCTTTTTCCAAAAGATAACGTTTGACTTGAGCATCGAACAACATCTAAGGAACGAAACCAAGCCACCAAAGTTTTGGAAAGTGGTATGCATTGCATGCGATGTTATGCCAAATTGGCTTCAAAGGCCCATGCGCTGCACAGACCGCCGTGGGTGCATGAGCCCGGGATGCACGACTTTCACCATATTTTGCTTCAAAACAAAAGTGAGTTGCACAGAGGGGCAAGACCATATAGCATCCTTGCGTTTAGTTGCGCCGTGGCTGAGGACTTCATTGGAAGGGCCCCCTTGCTAAGCCGCAGTGTGGATGCAAGGGCAACGCGCCATCGAGTACTTCAAAGGTACTTGGCTGGTGCTTTCGATGAATGGCAACATCATGACGCTACACCCCACTCCCAGGGAGAAAAAAAACAGAGACCAATGATGTGGTCAACGTTTAGATTAGCTCTCAATTATTTCCACATCCAATCATACCAAGTGAATCCGGAGGATCCACACTCGGCTGCAAGGGCCGCGGCAGCTATTCACACGAGCAGGGATTGAAGGGCTGGCCGGGAAAACCATGGACGGACCAACAACCAACCCACCAAAGTCTATCAATTTCATGGGAAACTGCACCATCTGAAGCTCATGGATTCTGGCTATGATGATGAACATGTGGTTTCTGCATGGTTTTACCATGGTTGAGCACTTCCCTCAAATTCGGGAATTTAGGGATTTTTGGTCTCGACCTAAAAAAAGAAACATCCTAACAAAAACGTTCCCCAGTAGATCTAGTTATGTATGTACATACGTACATGTGCAAAGTCGTTTATGCTTTCGTATATGTTTTTTTATGTGTATATAAATATAAATATAAATATAAATATATATTTATATTATATATATATATGGGGCAATTCGTCTTCGGGGAATTCGTCTTCGCAATTCGTCTTCGGGGGGAATTCGTCTTCGGGGGGCAATTCGTCTTCGGGGGGCAATTCGTCTTCGGGGAATTCGTCTTCGCAATTCATCTTCGGGGGGGAATTCGTCTTCGCAATTCGTCTTCGGGGGGGAATTCGTCTTCGGGGGGCAATTCGTCTTCGGGGAATTCGTCTTCGGAATTCGTCTTCGTCTGCGGGTGGAAATGTCGTACCCGCACAGCGGGCTCAATGTATACATACATGCATATATATATATATAACTATTTTCAGAATATATATATGTATGTATACATATTTTTATATGTAAACATATTTATATATTTATATACATATACATATACATATAATATATATATATATGTAAATGTATATATATATGTCAATGTATCTATATATATATGTCAATGTATATATATATTATACATACACACATAGTTGTATATATATACATATATATAATATTCATTTATTTACTTCTTTATTTGTTTACATATTTACAAAAATACATATGCGCGACCGTCACGGGCACAGCAAAGTATCCTGAAATTGTTCTCTGACACGTAGACACAGCAGTCCTACGCTCCTTTGCCAACATGTTCTGTCCGTGCGGAGATGTTCTCAAACATCTCATCGGCCAGGGTGCTCACTTCCACCAATCTGTAGACAACGGCCAACTGGAAAGCTGTTTTTTCCTAGGGGAGAACCAGCAAATGGGAACAAATGATCTTCATATAGCTGGAAACCAACAAGCCCAGCCCATGCGAACCATGCACAATCTTTTGTTTGAAAAGAACAACATGCAATGCATGGATGTATGGTTGCATGCTTATGTAATCTTATGTATATGTAGGCACGCGATGTGGCTACCACCCGCTCAAAGCTTGCCAAGCATCTACAACGTTTCTTAGATTTGTTCTCGTGGTTCTGGCTGTTTCCCATTGAAAAAAAATGTCCACGGAATTATAAAGACAAAGCAAATGATTGTGACTTTGTCTGTGTATATGTATCGCTAAACTGTCTGAAACTTGGGGGGGTGGCAACAAATCCACCCGGATCGATGGGCTCCTTGCTTGGCCTCACTGTATATGCAATCATGTCCCCAACCTGCCTTGGGAGCAAGCCGGCAAGGGCTTAGCTTCGATCATGTAATTTTCCATCTGGCTTCAATTTGAAGCCGCAACCGCCCTTACAGTACTTGACTGGAGTCTTCGAAGATTGTTTGCTGCAACCGCTCGGTGCAAGCTAGCTTCGGGCTTCACCAGTCCAACCAGGATGGGCTGGCCGTTGATCTCCCGCGACACGTGTGGATACATGTCCAATAGGGAGAACGACCTCAGAATCAGGTGGGGGGTCTGAAATGTCAAGAAAGTCAAGCTTGGAAGGCTGTTTGGAGCCGTTGTGGAATTCTTGGGCGCACCAATCGAAAGTTCATGACTAGCATTGTTGCTGCGGAAAATCATCCATGACTTTGTTAACTCCATAACTGCATATAAGATCATATCAGAACAGCATCTGGACACCACCTATGAATTCTGTACTACCACTCCTGGGCCAGTGGTGCAGCTGAAGGATTGATCAATCTCCCAGCTACCTCAACATCAAAGGCACTTCACGATGGATATGAGGCTCAGAACCAGGGAGAGGAATGAAAGGAAATTCCAGGCCAGTGTGTGCGTCATCAGCGCATATGTCCTGGGCCAAGAAAGTAGAAGGTGGGACTTGGCTCCAGTCAATTTGGAGAAACACCATGAAATATATATAATTATGTAAATATATATATATGTATATATATAGATATACATATATTCATTATATATATATACATATATTCATTATATATATATTCATTATATATATATATATATTCATTATATATATATATATATTCATTATACATATAAATATATATATATATTCATTATACATATGTATATATATTCATTATACATATATATATATATTCATTATACATATATATATATATATATTCATTATACATATATATATATATATATATCCGCCGACCCCTGCCGCCAGCAGGGGGAGCGCGTTAGAGGAGGACTGACTAGGGGCTGTCGCCCGCAAGCCCGGCCCGTCCTTCAGGACCGTCCTTTTTGAGACTGGCGAAGGCGCCGTTTTTGAATGTTTGTGACGGCCGGAAAGGGCGCGTTTTTGAAGGTTTGACGGCTGGAAGAGAGCTAGTTTTCTTGTAGGTTCAGAAAGCAACGTTAGGCAGTGGGAGCCGTTGCCCGGAGGCTCGGTCCGTCCTTCAGGGCCCTGCTGTTGGGGCGTGGCGGAGGCGCCGTTTGTGAGCCTTGACGGCTGGAAGAGAGCTAGTTTGGGAGCCGTTGCCCGGAGGCTCGGTCCGTCCTTCAGGGCCCTGCTGTTTTGCTGTGGCGAGGGCGCCGTTTGTGAGCCTTGACGGCTGGAAGAGAGCTAGTTTTCTTGTAGGTTCAGAAAGCAACGTTAGGCAGTGGGAGCGGTTGCCCGGAGGCTCGGTCCGTCCTTCAGGGCCCTGCTGTTTGGGCGTGGCGGAGGCGCCGTTTGTGAGCCTTAAGAGAGCTAGTTTTCTTGTAGGTTCAGAAAGCAACGTTAGGCAGTGGGAGCGGTTGCCCGGAGGCTCGGTCCGTCCTTCAGGGCCCTGCTGTTTGCTGTGGCGAGGGGCGCCGTTTGTGAAGCCTTGACGGCGCTTTTGAAGTTGACGGCTGGAAGAGAGCTTGTTTTCTTGTAGGTTCAGAAAGCAACGTTAGGCAGTGGGAGCCGTTGCCCGGAGGCTCGGTCCGTCCTTCAGGGCCCTGCTGTTTTGCTGTGGCGGAGGCGCCGTTTGTGAGCCTTGACGGCTGGAAGAGAGCTAGTTTGGGAGCCGTTGCCCGGAGGCTCGGTCCGTCCTTCAGGGCCCTGCTGTTTTGCTGTGGCGAGGGCGCCGTTTGTGAGCCTTGACGGCTGGAAGAGAGCTAGTTTTCTTGTAGGTTCAGAAAGCAACGTTAGGCAGTGGGAGCCGTTGCCCGGAGGCTCGGTCCGTCCTTCAGGGCCCTGCTGTTTTGCTGTGGCGAGGGCGCCGTTTGTGAGCCTTGACGGCTGGAAGAGAGCTAGTTTTCTTGTAGGTTCAGAAAGCAACGTTAGGCAGTGGGGGCCGTTGCCCGGAGGCTCGGTCCGTCCTTCAGGGCCCTGCTGTTTTGCTGTGGCGAGGGCGCCGTTTGTGAGCCTTGACGGCTGGAAGAGAGCTAGTTTGGGAGCCGTTGCCCGGAGGCTCGGTCCGTCCTTCAATCCCTGCTGTTTTGCTGTGGCGAGGGCCCTGCTGTTTTGCTGTGGCGAGGGCGGCGTTTGTGAGCCTTGACGGCTGGAAGAGAGCTAGTTTTCTTGTAGGTTCAGAAAGCAACGTTAGGCAGTGGGAGCCGTTGCCCGGAGGCTCGGTCCGTCCTTCAGGGCCCTGCTGTTTTGCTGTGGCGATGGCGCCGTTTGTGAGCCTTGACGGCTGGAAGAGAGCTAGTTTTCTTGTAGGTTCAGAAAGCAACGTTAGGCACTGGGAGCCGTTGCCCGGAGGCTCGGTCCGTCCTTCAGGGCCCTGCTGTTTTGCTGTGGCGAGGGGGCCGTTTGTGAGCCTTGACGGCTGGAAGAGAGCTAGTTTGGGAGCCGTTGCCCGGAGGCTCGGTCCGTCCTTCAGGGCCCTGCTGTTTTGCTGTGGCGAAGGCGCCGTTTGTGAGCCTTGACGGCTGGAAGAAAGCTAGTTTTCTTGTAGGTTCTAGGTTCAGAAGGCAACGTTAGGCACTGGGAGCCGTTGCCCGGAGGCTCGGTCCGTCCTTCAGGGCCCTGCTGTTTTGCTGTGGCGAGGGCGCCGTTTGTGAGCCTTGACGGCTGGAAGAGCGCTAGTTTTCTTGTAGGTTCAGAAAGCAACGTTAGGCAGTGGGAGCCGTTGCCCGGAGGCTCGGTCCGTCCTTCAGGGCCCTGCTGTTTTGCTGTGGCGAGGGCGCCGTTTGTGAGCGTTGACAGCTGGAAGAGAGCTAGTTTTCTTGCAGGTTCAGAAAGCAACGTTAGGCAGTGGGAGCCGTTGCCCGGAGGGTTCCATCAACTATGCACGTGCCAGTGGTTGGTGGAACACTGCTTTCCGTTGGGAGTGCGATGAGTTACTTGAATTCGGCCGGAAGCTTTTGTTGAATGCACCACCGCGCTGCATGTCGGACACGTGTGCGTATGCGTGCGACCTGCAAGCAAGCCATTTGCAACGCGAAATTCGTGGCCGCAACCATCACCTCGGCGGTGATCGATTTGTCCTGTTGCCACTTTGCTTTGCACAGATTTGGCGCAGTGTGGGCAGATGTATGTGTACAGTTGTGGCGTAACCGTGTCAGGCCCGACAGCAAGCTGCTGGTTCGATGAGTGGGCAGTGTCCGTTTTGGGAGCTTCTGCTCGCGTGGAAGTTTGTCTTGCTTCGTGTATTTCCTGAATTTCCTTGCGAACGTCTGCTGCGTGACGGTGGCGGGTTTCGCGTTGGCGCAAGCGGGCCAGGCGTTGATTCGTGCGATGAGCAAGACGGCAAACGAAGGCAAAGGCTGTGCATGCGTTGCATACTTGTGTGCCGTCTTGAGTATATTCACGCTACCCTGCCTGGGGTCGGCGGCAGGGGGCGTAGCCCCTTAATAAATATATCTATATATACATATATTCATTATAATATATATATATATATTCATGATATATACTGTATATATCTCTATATATTCATTATATATATATACATATGTTCATTATATATATATATATTCATTATAATATATATATATATTCATTGTATATACTGTGTATATATATATGTTCATTATATATACTGTATATGAATATGTATATATATATATATTCATTATATATACTGTATCAAAAACTGGCTTGCGGCGAAGCAGTTCTGAAGCACCTAGTTTCCTTCACAGAAGGGCGCCCTCGAGCGGTAATGTTGGATAGCGGAAGGTGAAATGAAGATGGGTGGAAGTCTGCACATGCTGGGGAAATTTTCACCCGTCCTCACCCATTTCATCAGCCTTCTTTCTGTACTTGCGTAACTGCCGATCCATTCGAATGCGGTTCTTCTTCTCTTTGGCTGTCTCGGATGGCTCCAATTGCCAGACTCCTCGTGCTAAAACGTCGAGGATCAGCTCCCTCTCACAACCCAGCTTCGTCAGCACGTCTGCAACCATTGGCGACGTATCGCACCAGTGGATGGTCGTTGACCCTTCCTCCAGACTGCGACCTTCATTCAAAATCTCCTTGATCTGGGCGACGAGTATTTATTTTGACTCTCTTGTCAGAGGGTTGCCCGGCATCCTTTGATACTGTGGCCTCCAAACCCTTGGCATCTGTGAAAGCCAGGAGAGGTCGTTTCACGAACTCGTTCTCCAAGTTTCGCACTTTCACACCAGGGTTGGTCATCTCAACCAAGATGGAGCGCACATAGTCGGCTGCTTCCACGCCCATCAGCACAGCGTTTGATTCAGCCGCCAAGGTGGAGCGACAAACTCTTTCAATAGAGCTCGAATTTGTTTCCAAAATCAGCACTGGTGTGGGGTCTCCTTGAGGTAGCGAGTCAAGGCTTAGACCCACAATGTAGCCACACTGGGACTTCAGTCCATTGATATTGGCAAAGGAGCTGTCGGCACAGGTGAAGACCATGCAGTTGGTCAGGTCAATCTTTGAAGGCTTGAAGGACCAGACGGCGTCCTTGGTCTCCTTGAGCATCTTGACGCCTTTGTTGAGGTCTAAGATGTCACGCACCGTTGGGTTGCCCATTGTCTGAGCAGCCATGCTCACATTCACCAAAACGTCAGGCCTTGTTTGGCGGGTAATCCAGCCCATTGAACCAACTAGGCCCCTGAACTGGGATTTCTCGGTCTCGGTCAGTGGAAGGTTTGGCTTCGTACGTCGATCCTTGGAGATAAGCTGGTACTCCAGGACCTCAATCATCTCTTTCTGGTCAAGGGTGATCGTGCCATCCTCCAACTGTGTCACGTTCTTCCCGCAAAACTTGAAAGACCCAGAATTTTCCTTCAGATGCAGCTTGGTCGTCAGGACCTTCATGGCGTTCTCATACTTGGAGCCATTTCCGCAGACGAAGAGGTCGTCCACGTGGCACGTGGGTTACCATGACACCTACCAAAACATCTCCATCGTAGAGGAAAAAGAGTGCAGCTTCAATTTTCGAAGGGATCCAACCTTCGGCTTTGGCATCTTGCAAGAGTTTGATCCACCAAGATCGGCCAGCGTCCTTGGTGCCATAGATACTGCCCTTGGCTCTGAACAGGTCGTGGATACTGATTCCAGGAGGTGGAGGTCTTGGGGGTCGTAAAATCAAAAGTCTTGCAATGCCCTTCGCTTGGAGGTATGCCGTTGAGGCATCATAGGCTCTCACCAACCATCCCATCATCACAGCAACAAAGCAAACCAGGTTAAAGGCCAGGAGTGATGCCGTAGGCGAGTCAGATCGAATTCCAGTGTCACTTTCTTGATTCCCCTGCACCACAATGCGAGACTTCGCAGACAAGGGGTGCTCTCTATCGATCTGTTCCTGTGTCTTCTTGGTTCTCTTCGATGTTGCAGCGAGCATCATTCGAGTTTTCTTGTTCTTGTCTGTGTGGACCCACCGAGTTCCAATCACCTCAGCATCTTGAGGAAGAGCAGCGACTTGCTCCTCGGTGAGCACCTCCACTGCGTTGAACTTCATCCAGGATTCCCATTCCTTGGCCATAGCTTGATCGAAAAGCTTCCGATCTGAGATCCTTCAGGTTGATTTCAGATCTCACAGCACGGCCAGTAAGGAAGGCCTCGGCAGGGTGGACATCGGTCAGGATGTAGTTCTCAAACTCATCATCAGACTCAGAGAGAAGTTCTTTGAGCCTCATCCTCCTGACTGAATCTTCCATCCCAGGACAGATGATCTCCCAGTCATCGTCCGCAGTCGTGCCGTAGGTCCCTGCAGAAATGATGTCCTCCTCGGCCAGGTAGGGTCCAGAAACCGAATCACGTCCAGCATGGCGTGTGGTTCTCATTGGTCCCAGCCCATCAAGCCGATCAGGATTGTTCATAGCAGTGTGCAATGTTGTTGGTGGAGGTTGTTGAAAGTCCATTTGTGCTTGAAGTAGAGAAGGTTGTTGTAGTGGAGCAGGTAGAGCAGAGGGGAGTGCCTGTTGGCCTCGCATGCTCTCTTGCGCTGTTGTCTCTAGAAGTTGATCTTGATGAATGGTTGTTGCTCTTGGTGTTGGCGGCACTGGTTCAAGTGCTGGTTCTGGTTCTGTCAGTTGTCGTCGATCTGGTGAACTAGCAAGTGGTCCTGGTAGAGCAGGTTGTGCAGGTTCTCCAGGTTGAGGTGGCTGTGGCAAAACTGCAACAGCAGCAGGACCCGCAGTTGGTTGATGTTGTCCAGGGGTATCGCCAGCAGGAAAGTCCATTGCGACATCATCATCCCCTTCTTGGATTTGAGGAAGAGGCCCATCTGAAAGTCCATGATGCGGCATCTCTCCAAAAGGTCTTGTGTGTGACCTCACATCCAAGTACTGTCGGGCTCCTCGAACCTGATCAGGCTGCTCAGCATAGTGCGGCACATAATGTGCTGCCAGCAGCTCATCTTCACTTGCAAAACGAAGTTGTTCGCCAGTGGCCAAAATCACAGACGGCCCATACCTCAGCCAGTAGGAGTGTGGTTGGCCTCCTTCTGTTGCAGGGTCTTCATCTTCCAAGCGTCTTGGATTGCGAAGTTCAACTCCAATGACCCGAGCAGGCCCAAACCACTTGTAGTTGCGCTGGTCATCGCGCGGCTTCTGTGCCTTGAAGAAGTACACGTCAGCTCCAACTGGGTATGGTCCTCTGGTAGGAGTCGATTGATGCAGAAGAGCTCGTCGAACTCTGGCATCTGTGTCCATACGGATCTGTGCGACCCGTGCGCTCTCTCTGATGTTGAGCGATTTGGCCATGGCTGAATGTGGATTCTCAGCCGCTTCCAAGACCTCTAGGTTGGGGTCAGTGTCACCATCAAGTAGTGAACCAGGAAGTCGTAGATCACCAACTCCAAGTACCCATTGCATAGGGCTGTAGCCATTGAACCTTGGAAAGGAGTTTCTGGTCTGAGTGACAATGCTGGTGGCCAGGATCACATCGCTGAGACCTTGGATCTGTGAGTCCACAACGGTCTTGTAGAAAAGGTCTTTCCAGAGTCCACCTGCTTTCTCACATTTTCCACCTTTCCATGGTGCCTCCAATGGCATCACCTCTTGCTCAACGCCAAACTGGCGGAGGTAATTGGAAAACTCAGCAAGGTATTCCTTGCCTCGATCAACTTGCATGGATGTTGGAAGTCCAGCCCAAGAGCTCCAGCTTGCAGTGAAATGTCGTAAAATGACTTGAGCAGCAGGAACACCTCTGAGCTCTCCCAGGCAACTCACCACCTGAAATCCGGTCGCATCGTCGACCACATTCAAAAAGCCATAGGTGGTTCCAGTGGTGCTTGCTGTGGTGCTGACAAAGTGAGCACCCGTCCTCTCCTCCTTTGACGTTTCCGTTGACCTCGTTGTTGATCTGGTAGAGATCGTACTTCCGAAGGGAATGCTTCTTCAACACCTGAAACTGCAGAGGCCTCGATGGAAGCCTGTGGAATCACTGCCTCCAAAACCATCCAGTTGAGTTTCGATGGCCACTCAGCAGCTTGTGCAGTTCTTGGACCAGTTGATGTTTGTGGTCGCCATTGCACATGTGGTTGGAGAAGACGCTCTCTGCCGCAATCATGGAAGTCAAATAGCAAGAGGATTTTCGATGTGGCAAACCGCTCTCGGCATCAATGTAGCCAACCATGCAGCCGTCGACCTTGATCATGATGAGGTCTCCGGACTCGATCAAGTCACGAACATCATGCATTTCAGGCTCTTCAAGTGATGCCGATCCCCAGGGCTGTTCGACAAAAACATGCCTTTTGGCCTTCAGTCTATCTTTGATCACCTTGTTGACGGCCTTCAGCACTGGGCGGTTTTCCTCTCTCTTGGCGAGGACAGTCTCAGCAGCAGAACCACCACGTTCCAAATTGAAACGGCTCCATGAACCCCAGGGCCCGCATGGGTGTGTGATCACGGTGAGGTAAGGATCCTCGACCTGCATGTCTCGGTTCATCCATTTGATTCCAGCAGGTGTAGAAGCATCCCATGACGTTGAAGACAAGTCCAAGGGGGTTGCCACCTGCATTCCGATCACCACCGCAGCTAAAGTCAAACCCATTTGTCCTGCAAAAAGTTGTTTGATCCAAGTCTTCCCAGATGGTGGGGACTTGGAGACAGCTCGAAGGTTCTTGTTCTGGAGGATGCGCTTCTTGTCCCAGTCATCAGGGTCCACGATGCGGCACATAGTGTCCAGCTTCTTGCCTTTCTTGGCAGTGGTCTTGCGGACAAGGAAGCTCTCCTCTTGCAGCAGTTGTTCAAAAGTAGTCAGATCTTCACACATCAGACCTTCACCATGATGTCGGTCAGGTTCATCGGCAGTGGACTTCATGACGTCCTCAAAGTGCTCAGCTTCAGCCCGTAGATGTTCCATGTAGTCTTCATGACGTTGTTCTTCAACTTGTTGATCTCCATAATCACTGTCGTGAGCATCAGAAGGAAGCTGATAAGCTCCTGATGCCCAAGAAGACTTTGGCGAAATGCCAGGGCTGACAGAGCTGTAGTCCTCGTACTCCTCGTCCTTGTTGCAGGGCTTCAGAGTCATGTGAGGATCAGGAAGACGATCACCAAGCAAATCCACAGCCAGATGGCCCTTGGAGGTCTTCTGCAGAGGCAAGTTGTAAACTCCAATGGCCTCAAGAGAGACAGTGCCACGGCTCAAGTCCAGGACCGTTGACAACTTCTCCATGAATGGTCGTGAGATCAGCAAAGGCACACCGCCTTCGGTTTCTGCAGAGTAGATCTCACCAGGCACACCACCAAGTGTAATGGGGAATGCCTTGACGCATTCAGACTGAGTTTGACCTCCAACTCCACGGAAGATCTGCTTCTTCTTTTGGATCTTGGGGTGCTTGCCCTGCTCTTTGAGTTTCTCCTCAAAACGCTCAGCCCAAAGTCGGCCGTGCATGGTTCTGGTCAAACCAGAGCCCAGGATTGCCAAACCAGGTGACTCCTCATCCTGCAGGATGTAGACCATCTCCTCGGGCACAGTGCGATCAGCACCAAGCAAGGGATCTGAAGATCCAGGAGGCTTCTCATCGATGTTGTCCTCAAACATCATGACGTCGCAGTAGTGAAGTTCCAAATGGTTGGGGTCGTTCTCCATGACTTGCAGTGGAACTTGAATGCATCGAGAAGCTTCCATCGCCGAGGGATTTGCAGTCCTCTTCAGAACTGACTTGGAGTCGCCCTTCATCATCCTGATTGCAGCAGAACGCACCAGCTTCAGTCGCCCGTAGAGGTAGAAGGCAAACCGAAAAACCTCAGGACGCATCGGCTTGTTGGCCAAGGCATGCAGCATTGTTGCTCGGCAGAACCACTCACACTCAGCAACTGATGAAACCTCGAGGAAGCTGCGTCCAGACAGGGCGCCATGACCAACCAAAGAATCATCAGCAGGTAGAGGTTGAAGGATGGCCATGTCCTCGTCGGCAAGCTCTGGAAATGGCGGTAGTTCTTGATCCAAGCTGAGAAGAACTCCATAAAGCCAGGCACGATCAGGGTGTGCACCATCATAGACGATTCTGGCCTTTTGGTTTCGGGAGAAGCTTGCCTGGTCTGCGGCTTGCTCCCTGGTGATGACGGTGCTGGGCTTGCGCTCTGGTAAGTCCAATCAGAAGCGCGGCTCACGCAAGTCCAAGCGGAACCAGGAGAGGGAGTCTGTGGGGCCCGACCGGCATGACCAGCACGGAAGGGAACCAACGGCTCAACCTCTTCAGCCTCAGCAGCGATTGACAAACGGCCAATCGTTCGGGCAAGCTCACGTGATCGAGCTGCCTTGCCCCATTTGGTTGTCAGGGCAATCATCACCAACCATCGCCACATGCTGATGTTCTCACGCCTGTTGGCTCGGATCACAGTCTTGCCGCATGAAGGGTCTTGGCAAGTCACGTGGCCAGTATAGCCATTTGCACCACGAAAGTAGTGCTTTTCATCACCTCCCTTGTAGGAGCTGTGCTGGCAGAGCTCTGAATCCTTATCCAGCTTGAGGACAATGAATGAAGACGGAGTGGATCTCGACGTCTCGATTGGAAAAAGAATCGGTGAAACTGTTGGCACCATTGCCAACGGCCAAAATGGCCTCATCTGCCAGCAAAATGCCGGAGTTGTTGTCGGCAGCGTCGTTGGGCTCATTGTTGTTGCTGGCTGCCAAATCCAAACCAGCGGAAAAACCATAGGAGTCCAGTTCATAGTTGGTTCCATCGGAGTCAGAGTTGAAGACAATCTTTATGTCCCCTTCATCAGACTGGATCTCCTCATGCAAAACGAAAAAGGTTGCCGGAGGCTGTGCTTTCTTCTTGGGGCTATGGTTCACACCAGGCCTTCTCTTTGGCGATGCCTTCCCCTTGCCTTTCTTTCCACTTTTTGGACATTCAGGATCTCCAACCCAGTGTCCACGTTGAAAACAAGCAGTGCACTGAGTGACGGACTTGAGGAAGTTGGTCGCCTTAGCTCGTTGATCTTTTGCACGCTGATCGAAGCTGAAGTCACCGTGTGCCTTGAAGGGAACCGTCATAGTCGAAGACACAGAAGAGCTCTTCTTCGAAGAAACTTGATTCCGCTTCTGCATTCTGTGCTGAGCCACAGTTGCATAGGCTTCAGCCAGACTGCTCTCCTCAGGGTTGTCCCATGGGATCTCCTGCAAAAGGGAATCCAGGGCTTCATCATCACTGTAGGCAACGTAGGCGCCTTCAGACTCGTCCTCATCTTCAGCAAAGTCGCCCTCGACATAAACCTCGTCATCTTCAGGGGCGATGTCATTCTCATCAGCGTCGTCAACGGCAAGAACCTGCTTGATCTTGTGGGACCCCTTGAAGCGCATCTTCGATTGGATGCTAGCAGCAGCAGTTCGACCAGCACCAAGGAAGTCACGTCGCATGACTGGCCTTGGAATGGCATTCGGGTACTGGATCCTCAGGGCATGGGCTACTTTCTTGAAGTCATACTCATTGCCAACGGATGCAAGGACAGCTTGTTGTTCTCGTCCATCAAGTCCGCTGAAAAGCAGCAGCAGCAGCAGACACCTGACATTCTCACTCACCTGAGTCTGCTCTGAAGCCTCTTTCAGCCTCACAAAGTCCTGCTCACGTCGGACAATGTATTGAGCCATTGTCTCCGTTGACCCTCTCCACACCTGCGGCGAGTAGAAGCACTTCAAAAAGAGCTCATTGAGGCGCACAGGTTGCTCGACGGCTATGTTGTCCTTCAGGGTCTGGAGAAACAGCTTGAGGCCCTTGTCACTGGCCTTTCCCTCAGGGTCCTTTGTCCTAAGATCTTCGTGGTTCAGTTTGCGAACAGCCTCAGAGGCTGCACCTGACAAGTTGGCCCTCAAATGCAGGGGTGTTGCGACCTGCAAATGGTCTTGACCCTCTCTACTATGGAAAAGATCCCAACATCTTTCTTGGTATTCTTCGAAAAGTTCTGGTTGCCCTGCATATTGCGGAACCCCATACCTATCACAGTCCAGTTGGCCCGATCCCGATCCAGCAGCCATGTTGCTTCTGGTAGAAGCCTTTGTCCACGGTTGTTGCCCTGCTGCAGCAGCAGGAGGTAGGAGCTTGAAGCCACCTTTGGCCCAAGCCCAGCAGCACAGGCGCAGCAGGAGCGCAGCTATTGAAAGCAGCGCCAGCGGGCCACCGTTCAGGCTCGAACGGCTCCGCTTACCATCAAAAACTGGCTTGCGGCGAAGCAGTTCCGAAGCACCTATTTTCCTTCACAGAAGGGCGCCCTCGAGCGGTAATGTTGGATAGCGGAAGGTGAAATGAAGATGGGTGGAAGTCTGCACATGCTGGGGAAATTTTCACTGTATATATATATATTCATTATATATATATATATTCATTATATATATATTCATTATATATATATATATATATTCATTATATATATAAGAACGTATTTTGGAAGCACCCGAAAGCACCTGGAAGCATCAAGGTGGTTTGTCAAACACATTGTGGTGCTGCTGAGCAATTTCTGGCTGAGGTGCTGAATGAACATGCTCAGCAAGGCTTCAGCAAAGGCTTCCCCCAAGGTTGAACGAGCAAGCTGCGACTTGCATTTTTCACTGTGGAAGTAGCCTGACAGACTCCGCAAACAAACCATGGGATAAACTGCAAGTAAAGTCCAGAAAATGGTTGCACGGTGTTTGCACCGTTTTTGGAGCAGCAAAGTCCAGCGCCAATTGTTTTCCAGACTTTGGGTGACCTTCTTCTCAAAAACACCGTTTTCATGTCTTGAGTTGAGACTACGTTTGTTGAGTTCTGTCTCGATGTGTTGGGTTCTGTTCCATTCCCTATAATCTGTCAGCTTTTTGCAAAATTGCATGTTGAGATGCTATAATTATTGTGCTGAGCGTTGTTGTTGGTTTTATTGGAAACTCTGCGTGGTTTAATTGTTTGTGATTATTTGTGATTCGGAAACTTTCTTCCAAATTTTGACATCGCATTTCCAATGGACCAATGAAGTTTACATGGGTTTCAAGTACCAAATTCATCCAAATTCAAAATAATGAGTCCTGAACAGACTTTGGTGATCATCCAGTGATAGGGGGTACAGCCACGCAATCTCAATGAAGCTTGTGTGTAAAGCTCGCGACATGATACCCTTGCAAACCAAGTTTGGGCTATTTCAATGGTCCAGTGTTTTGTTTTGGCCCGGAGAAATCGCGCCAGAATCCTTTACCTTTACACACACACAATGCCCCTCAGCTACAAAAAGACAGTACCGTTTCCACTCGTACCCGGAAAGATCCCTGACACGCCAAGCTCGTCCGAGGCACTTTGCAGGGATTGGTATCTTGGATCGTTTCCGGTCGCCACCCGCGCCAGGCAGAACAAGAAGATCGCTTGCGCTGCAACCAGCAAAGGATTGACGTGAAACAGTATCAGAAGGAGCGATAACCTCGCAGCGAAACAGCAGCTTGAAATTGGCACAGATTTTCTAGCTCTTCCCCGCAGCAGGAAACAACATACTCTACTTCGTGCGACCCCCTTCAATATAGCCGTATACCGATGATATACAATGATACCAGTATACCATGATATACCCATCCAGACAGATATTCAGACACGTACTGACAATTTGTGCTGACATAATATACCCTCACATCTAGCCTGACATTAGTCCGACACGTATTTTGACTTTTGACATATGTTCGGGCAAATCTTCTGACATACAGTGTGACATTTGTTCTGACAAATATGATGTACCACATACCCCCCGCATAAATTCTGGCAGGTGCCTAGAACATCCTTTAACCAATCCCGGCAGACAGCTGTCCACGGAATAGGTATAGGCAGGATGCCCGGTGAGGCACACAGAGTGCGGGAGCTTGCAGAGCGTCAGAAGAGGAGCTGACACAAAATCTAGGGACCCTCACCGTTGGGAAGAACAAGTAGTTTTGCCCTGGGTCTCCGATCCCTCTGGTACAACTAGAGCGTTGGGAAAAAAACAAAGAATGGCAAGGAGTATCCAAGGTTTTGTTCTGTTTGTTCTCCCTGAATATTTGGGCTTCACATGGCTTCACTTCCCACCTGAACTGTGTCAAATGTCCACCACCACAACCACAAAACAACTTGTTTTTAAACTAAGGAGCGCGTCCCTGTCTGCGGTCGTTGAGGCCGAGAACATGGAGGAGACCAAGCCAGCCGCGATGGCCAAGCTGTTGAGGACGGCATAGGCAGAATGGCCGCTGTGCCAAAACCTGGCGACCATATGCGACCATTGTTTTGTTTCCCTTTTGGCGCCCATCTGAATTGTTGCCAGTTCCCAAGCTCTTCAACAAACATGGAAAGAGCCCTTTCACCTGTTGATGTAAGATGCCAGCATGTACTAACCTAACATGGGGGTGACGGAAACGGACAGAAGTGGGGATACGACATGAATCAACTGGTTGGTGATGGATGGTCTTCCAACACACCACGCGAAAACATGCGAAAACTAGGAGCTGCAGAGCCATGGAACTGAACATATCCGGTAGTTGAACAACCACATATTTGACCTGGATTTGTAGTCTGGTCACAGTGACGTAGTTTGAAACCCTTCAAATGCGCCTCCTAATCAAGATGATGTCGCTGACAAAATCCTTGGCTTGGGAATGGGGAATACATCAACTAGTTGACTTGTTTCGATTTCAGGACAACCAGACCTTGCATGGGTCCACCCCTATATGGGTTAACATTTGCATAATATATATATATATAATTATATATAATTATATATAATTATATATATATATATGAGTATCATACAGCTGCGAAGCAAAGCTGGAGACAGGGTCTGGGTTTCCAGAGTGTCAAAATGCCAGCTGTGACATTCAGTGCGATTAGGACATAAAATAAATGTCCGAAAGATTGAGAATTCTCCACATGCATCCTGGCATCTGCGTAGTAGAACAGAACTGGTAGGAGGATTTGGGATCCCAGCACCCACATCTTCGAAAAGCTGATTTCGGCAGCCGCCGCCAAGGATGTGGCAGTTTCACCACTGCCAAGATAGTAGGGACTGGCCATGCCCGCCAGCAGCATCGAGATTCCAAAGATCACAGCGGAGAGCAGCAAGGCGCCGTAGCCTTGGAAATCTTCAATGACTCCGGAGGGCACCGAAGATGATCAAACCAAATGATACCATACTCATACTTCGTGGGATGCAGCATGAAGGTCTCCTTACTAAGATGTTGTAGAGAAAAACTGCATCGTCTCCATATGAGGTTCCAAACACGCTGTTTGTGGGAGGTCCAACAGTCCAACAGCCCCATCACAGATATCACAGTGAATCCAGTGCCGGGTAGCGTGGGAACTCCAAGTCCACACCGCTCACCAAGAGGTTGAAAATCACCAGCGCCATAATCGCAACAGCAAAGACTGCTATCGGGCTTAAGACCTGGACTCAACAGCCCGCTGTTACCCTCTGGCAATTGCACAAAGCTGGGAAAACATGCATAAAAATGAACATTTAACCAAAAATCATATCTGTATATAAATTGATTTTCCATTGGATCTTCCGGTACCACGTTTGATTGCCAGTGGGTAATTGCTAAGGTTACGGTCTCACTGATTAATGACTCCTTCCTGAAGGTTGTGACAATCCTAATCTGATACTGACCTGCCTGTTCACTGACTCCGAACACATTCAATCCAAGAATGAAATGATTTTTCTGTCGTTCCTCCTCACACACGGCGTGCAAATCAATTTCTTCCTCTTCTCTGTTTTGAGACTTCACCCTTCACCACTCGACGGTTTGATTGCATTACTTTTCACACTACTGTTTGGTGACTCGGCTGTGGATTGTTTGGTCAGCTATGCACAACTTCACCACTCTCCTATGAATTCAAAAAGAAACTGCGCTTCCTCTTCATACCACGAAACTGACTTGGCTGAATCTTTCAGCTCGGCAATCCACGACGTTGTGTTCTTTTTGCTCGCCACGCTTGACACCTACAGGGGTGTTGATGGTCCATGATGGTTCCATTATCGCCAAGCCTGTGGAAAATGATCTTCAACAACCATCCCCCCTCAGCCCGTGACCTGTCTGCTCCCGGGGCGGGCCACTCGCAATCCGCACCAATTGGATTCCTCTGTGGTGCCGTCCTAAGAAAATTGGTGGCATTGAGGCCCCTTGAACGAAAGAGTTTCTTGCATCAGATGCCCCTTAAGCATGCAACTTGGTGCCATATTAAAGGCAAATAAGTCTTCACCACCATCCAAGTTGCATGTGATATGCATGTAAATGAATGGTGAGTTGCTTGGTCCCTACATGACAGTCTTCCACAGAACTTGCTGCACATGATACAGCTGGATTGGGGAGTACAGTTCGGTATATATGAGCCACGGATAGCCATAGAAAGTATTTGGATGTATTTGGCACATCGCATAATTTCCGGGGAATTCCTACCTCGTTCTCCGTTCCCGTACTCTACCGTTTTGGGGGCATGACCTCGTTCTGCAACAACGCGCTTGTACCAATGCTATGTATGAAACGCCTACCTTGTTCTCAGAGTGTTCCTACCTCGTTTAGCTAATACTGTTCTTCCAACGAACCAAGGGATGCCCCTGCCCCACGACTGCTCTTTTCTTCATGCAACCCAACGGTAGTAAGGGTTCCAGGGTTGCTGGGTTCCCTTTCGACTCCGTTCCAATTTTCGGGCTCTGCAACCAAAACGATGCTCCCAACGGAGCTATGACGTTAGAGAACAAAATACTGTAGACACATTTGCACGGGCTATTGGGATCTAGATACTCGATGCTTTTATATGCTTTTATAGCTTTTATATGCTCTTATAATCTGTTATATGATTTCCATTGGTTTCCCACAAGTCTTTAATGATCTTCAATGTATCCCAAAACGTGAGGGCACACCCCTCTCCATCAACCAACGTTTATACGGTGGCTGTTACAACACGTGTGCAGCAGCCTCCGCAGCGAGTGGCGCTGGAATCTGCTTCGATGTCATTCCACTGGTTCCAAAGTTGTTGTTCTGAATCATAGCGTGGGACATTGTCGCCATGGTTGCCGCTAATGGACTTCCGCCATGGGCGGACCTCGGTGCAACTTCACCCGAAATGCACGTAGCTGCCAAAACCTCTCTCAACATCAATTTTGTCCAAGCCCTGCAAGGGAAAGGCATCGGGAAATGTTGAGAACGCTTACTTACCATGACTTTTCAATTTTTCAAGCGTGGACTCAAAGCATCTGCATTTGACAAACCACAGTGCTGTGAGACCTTCAAAACCTTGGTGCCTGTAGAGCGTTGCAATTCGCATATGAACATGTCAAAGACGTTGGCTCTCAGCAGGCCAGAATCCTACCCCTAACATCAAAACCATGGGTTCAAGGCTGATGTCCGCTGTTCAGCCTTTCTAAAGGCATTCAAACATATTTAGACACTGAAATACACATTCGATTAACCCTCCAAAGAAGCTTTGCTTGCAAACTACACCTACCCCAAGCACCGGTACGTGCACAAAACTCTTCCGGCGCGAGTAATTAGAATATCATTATGTGGATCCCGTTACAACATGTACAACGCACTGCCTTCAACGTTGTGCTTCAAGCTGCCATGCTGGAACTACAGGAGTTTGGAGGCAATGTTTCAGCAGCACTTGAGCCAGGTGTGACAGGAATGGTCAGTTCCGGGTGTAGATTGCGCATGATCACGTGACTGACCCTTTGATAATCTCTCATTGCATTCCTTTCCGGGCCTTTAAAATCCCCAAATCGACTTGTCAGAAGTGGGAATATGTTGTTGACAAGGGAGATAGGGGTTCCAAAGCAGATGCACGTCAAGGTTGCCATGGTTTCACCTTGGTGAATGGATCATGAGAACAGCACCATCTTGTTGTGCGTTTGTCGTAGGAACCCGGTTTCCCCCACATCTCGCCACATCAATGGGCTCGGCTCTGCTATTTCAATCTATTTCATATAATTATAATTAATGAATTAACTTAAAGGGGCGTCAAAGGAAGCCTTGCGCCTTGAGTTTCAACTCCTACTTGGACCAGCCATCTGAAAACCCTTACCAAATCCAACAACAGCTTGGACCTCCTTGCTGTGACCAAGCGCAGAACCTGAGGGTGGTGGCTCCGATTGGTCAGTATTGCCCAATGGCGTGCAATAAGATGTTGTAAAGAATTCAAACTTGGAGCCTCTGTTCCTTCCCCACCCCGGTTTCTAAGAAGCAGTTGAAGACCATTGATAACAAGTGAGGAATCAAACTCCTACAAGTACATTACCGTGCCGCATGTTTTTCTCTGGGGCTAGGGCTAGGGTATGTTAGGGCAATTTGAGTTCCCCTTCATGTGCTGGGGGAGCCCACATTCAACTGTGCTTACATTTTTCCAAGGGTGTGGGAGATCCTGGTGCCAGATGGTTCCAGTTCAGTTGATGCAAACATGAAGTTTTGCCTGAGATGGGCAGGGAATAACTATACCCTTCGTGCATCTCATGTTCGATACATCAGCTGTCATGGCTGTCATGTCAAGCACTCTGGCCTGGCCATCTCAACATCCACAAGAACTTCTCGATCTCGGGCCTCCTTTCGTATCTGCACCTGCTGCTGGCTGCAGCATGATCGTTGGATTATGTTGCATTCATTGAACAAAGTCATCCCCTTCTACTGGCTGGTTGGTAAGGGTTCCCATATGGATTTGAATCATCGCCATTAAACCAGCTACAGTAGCATGGTCCTATCCGTCACCATCAACCAATAGGGAGAGCCCAAGGATGCTTGGTCATCAGACTGTGGCAGTGCCTGGGGCGTATTGTGCTCTATTGCTGTGGAAATTCGACCCAGATGCATGGGTTTGATCATGTTTGATACAGGATGACAAAGAACCTCCCGCATCAACCAAATGGAAATACATGGAATCCATGCAAGAACCAGTTTCAGTCATCTCTACAATTGTCCAATGCTAGGATCTTTGATGATCGTACTGCATCAAACAGTCAAACACCCGGATTTTCAAGTCGTCCAATATATCACACTGGAGCTCCGCTAGCCATCTTGCCCCAGCCCTGGCCTTGGTTGGCTGCGACCCCTCAGCCTGTGGGACTCACGGGATCAAATTGGTGCCGGACACAGCTGGAGGTAAACCGTTTCTTCGTCTTCTTGCACTCCACTTGCCATTTCAAGTCCAAGGGACCCGTGAGGCCCGCTGGAGGCTTGGGTGCCTCTAAAATGGTGGCTGCACAAAACACGTTCTCAGGATCAAGGGCCTCGATCAGGTCACCAACTTGGAATTCTCGAGCCAGGAATCTGGTCACATCCACTTCCTCGTATTCCCAGCCCATTTCATCCAGCTTGGCAATTTCCACCTTCTGCGATCCGCCGCAGCCTTTCCCATCCCAGAGGGGGCAGCATCTTCCAAGACACCTTTCCACAGCCCACCTCTCCAGGAAAATATGCGACCTGAAGGCGTTGCCCCATCTGCACCGCCTCCCTCACTTTCTCCAGCCAGAGCTCAAACCATTTACAGCCCCAAGCCGCTCGTTTTCGGTTCAGTTCCCATTTTAGCCGCGCCGCTTCAAGATCCTGCTCAGTGGCATCACCAAAGACCAGGTGAGAATTCATTGCCTGAGCTCGTTTCATCAATATTTTTTTTTGGCCCCCGTACAATGCTTTGTTTTGACCTCCTTCAAGTAGCCAAGCGATCTGAAATCGCGTTCACCGTAAATTTCGGCACATAGGCACTGTTCCGTGTTCAATGGATCTGGAAAGTGATGCTGGCCAAGGCCATCATCTGCATCGTCCAGAAACACGCAGGCCACAGAATCCTCGTGGTCGCCATGAATCAAAGCTTCCCATCATGTCTCAAACTTTCCGGGAAAGGACGCCCAGCAGAACTTTGCATTTTCTTTGATCTGACCAAAGTAGCTCTTGTATCGGAAGGCATGTAGTTTTGCATGCCTTTCAATCTCCTGGCAGTGGCTGGACAGTTCCTACGTTACAACTGTGATTTTTTTTCAAGATCCAAATGATGTGCACCATATTATACCATATTATACCATGTTGTGGCAAGATGTTGCAAGTGTCAAGTACGAAGATGGCCCAAGACTTAGTTGCACGTGAATGATCCATGGCCCAAGACATTCTTGCCTCACTAAAAACCAATGATAGCCAATGAAACAAAATAGCAGCAGGCAGCGCTAGGGCGGAATTTGTTGGAAATCAAAGGCCTATACGATGTGTTGCTGATCGACATGGGCGTCTGAATGATTGAATGATTGAACCACCGAAGCCGGAATGATTCAGTGGCTGACTAGGCCATTGGGGTTGTTTCTTTTCCAAGCAATCTCCTTGCCAGCTTCATCTTCCCTGAACCAACTCTCTTCTGAGCTGCTTCATCTCTGAGCGGCTTCTTCTCTAAGCCAGTTTTCTCTGAACTACATTTCCTTTGATTTACTGCTTCTCTGGAGCCGTTCTTTACTTTGCGCAACTTCTGCCCTGATCTACAGTAACTCTTCTCTAAGCAAACTTCCCTCAACCACTTTGTCTCGAAGGGCACTCTTTCCGAGCTGCCCCTTCCCTTCACCCTCGCTTTTCCGAGCTACCTTTCCTCCAAGCCAAGCCTGCTCTCAGCCAACTCTCTTCTGGGCTGACTCTCCTCATTCTCTGAGCCAAGCGTGCTCTCTCAGGATCTTTTAGCTTCTATATATACTTTGAGTATCTTTGAGTGTACGTTTTACGCTGCTCCGGCTACAACAACGCTGTTCCTTGCACATGTTTATTTTGGGAAAATCGAGCTGCTCTTGACCCCATCTTCGAAAAATGGTCTCGCATTGCGCTAGGGGCTGCTGCTACGAATTACGTTGCATCTTTCCGAAGCCATCCATATTATAACTTCCAATTTGCAATGTGCATATATTTGCGTGGATTACCGCCCCCGCCACGCATGCCTCTTCTTCGCTATCACTCAATTCTCGTCCACCGGGTTGCTTCTCCTGCACTTGCCACAGAAGTTGACTGGGCTTGGTGTCAATGCTAGGCCCCTCCAAGTACCAAGGATATTTGGGCTTATGGCAAAGCCCAAATGAGCTGATACCAAAAACGAATGAATGAATTTAAAGTGTATAATAGTATATATTGAGTGTTTCATTATTGAGTCACTGCCTTTCTATCACAACTTGAGACGGTAAGGGCCCATCTCCACCTATACTTTCGGCAGCGCAGCGAAGGCGCCTCCACTTGCTCCGTACTTATCACTGGCATCGTCGAGCATGGCTGGAGGACGGACTCGAGGCAAATTCGTCTCAAAATAAGGATATCAAAATGTCCTGCAGTTGTATAATGTGGTGTATGGGGAAAGTGAGAGCTGATTAACATTGATTAACCAATGTTCTCAATGGTCCCATACGTCTAGAATTCACACAGCATTACAACAGGATCCGCTTGAATCACTTGCATGATGTTGCATGCTACATTTTTCGACATAATGAAGTGGTGAATAAGTTGGAATTTCTCTCATGCAATGTTCAGTTGTTTGGAACAAATCAGCCACTCTCGGAGCTTTTCAGCCTCTCAAACGCCTGTTCCATGATTCCATAGCCCCTTCGCGATGCCATCTTTGAGTGGATCGCGCAGTAAAACTTGGGGGCGTGTGTGCCAACAGTCCCTGATTTCCAGTGAGGTTGCTTGCTGAATGTCGCGATCATCATATGAGTATATGGTATCTACATTTGCGTGTACGAGACCATGGCTTCATGCCATGGGTCAAGCCTACAATTGCCTGCCACTCGTGTGAAAATGTGAAAATGCCTCGTGATGGGCAGTGGTGGAGACACATCATTGATAATGTTAATATGCTAAGTTCATATTATATAATAAGCAGCCCGAATTAATCAACACCCACACTCCAAAAAATGTTTGGCAGTACTACTTTGGGTTTGTCCCTCCCTATTAATAAACATATGCGACCCCCTATTAAACAACACCCTGCTCAGAAATCCTAATTGTGTGGCAGTCAGGATATAGTTATGTGTTTAATATGTTTTAAGTTTATTATCATTATGGTGTTACTTTAGATTGCGTATTTTAATGGTTGGTCAAGTAATGTTTTGAAGGGATGTCCCATGCTCAATCTGACCATCTCACTCCATTGGGACAAAGGTTGCCACTGAAAAGATAAATCTCGACCCATTGGCAGGCAGGTTGGTTGTTTTTCATGTATGACAAGCCTCAGTTATTTAATTGGGGGCGACTCTTGCCTTCTAGGGTGGGGTTATTAATACGAACTTGGCATTAGCTCATTTCTGATCACTCCCAATTCCATTGACTTTGCCATGTTTACCAAGTTTAGATGAATTGGAGGTACATTTTGCGGCACTGCCTCGCTGTTGAAACACACTGAAGCCGCCGCATCCGCTCCAATTTTCAACACATTCGCGGCGCATAAATCTCTGATCTCAGGAGCCACGCAGCCACCTCAAGCGCCGCCACAAAAAACTGCCTCGAGCTCTCTTCCACACAGTTCGGGAATCATCACATGCATTGTATACTAACTGTATCTAACTATACTATTCTGATATATCGACATAATAAATCACGTACATCATCATGATCATAATCCATGAATATTAATGTCATATTATATATCATATCATATCCGTCATATCCATTGCAGTTGGGGCGACCGTGTCAAGCAGTTGATTCCATTGATTCCGGTGGTTGAGCTCGCAGCTCTTGGATGAAGAAGGCCCGTCAGTCGTTCCAGAGCTTCCTCTGGAGGTTTTCCTCAGTGCTGGGCCGAATTCTGTCATGAAACGCCAAGATTCGTATGATTCGTCTGTATGATGTTACAATATGTTACATCAATTTATATCAAATTATATCAATACTATCTGATGTTGAAACATGACAACATAGGTGAGTCTTGTTTCTTATGGGGTTCTACATGGGGATCATGTTCAGGCTGGCTTCCGTGTTCCTCTTGGAGCGCCTTTCGCACAGAAGTAGAAGAGATGTCTGGAAGTTCAGGACCGACAATAAAGTATCCTGTGTTGCAAAGGAATTTCAGGATCTGTTTCACAACAAACATCGCACATTTCTGACTTCACTGTGCTGGAAGTTCCTTTTGCTTGACCTCCGACATCTCAGGCTGTCCTTTGTCTTCTGGCACCATCAATCACCTCGAGTATTCCAAAAGTCAACCATCATTTTGAGTAGAGAAGTTACAGTTATGACCAGCAAATCGGGGGCACATCTCGGTTGCACCTGCTTGGTAAAGCCAGGTCTTCCCATGGTGATGGAACGGTGATCTTCTGTGCAGCCTCTCCATTTCCTCAGTACAGAGCACTGAAAAAAACTCACTTAAACTGTGACAAGCTGTTTGCCGTAAAGTAGTGTTGCAAAGTCGCTGAAACTTGCAAACATCGTCGGCGCCATTCAAGGCATACCTGTTGCCCCGCTTCACAGATACTGCAACAATCTTTACATCCGACAGCCAAAACAGTTCGAAAAAACATGAAATATCAAATTGTATATTGCGCATCATTGTCATTGTCTATTGCCTACATGATGCCTGCATGCCTATATGATGCTTACATGATGCCTGCATGCAGCTGATGAAAAAATCACATGGTTCGGCACTGGCATCTCCAATTTGGCACCTAATGAATCTCAGATTCGCCCACTGGTGCTGCAAAGCCTGTACTGCATGCGGCTCGCTGCGCAAGGGGTTGAAATCCATCCACGGCCGCTCTGATGTGGCTAAAGTTGTCAGTTCAGCCCTGCACCGGGAAGCAACATATAGCAACATGCATCGAACTGAATGTGGCAGTGGCATCGTGTGTCAACTCGAAAGGGATTGGAGTCACGAATTTTCAATAGGAACATCAAGATGCATCAAGGCAATGGGTACTTTCTAGAGCATGAGCCAACACAAGCCGGCGCTCATAAAAGCAAGGGAAAACTTGTTGCTGAAGTTTTTCTTGAATGCTGAAACCAACTAATTAAATAGACAGGACGTCACCGACCAGATCCGACCAGCCAGTGCACAGTACGGTTGCCTGTCCCAGTATGAAATGGCTGGCAGGCCCTTCATCCGAAGCTTTTCACCGACATGTTTGTTGCCATTCCTGGCTGAGAGGCAGCACAAGATGGAGGTGCGTCAAAACGCCAGTATTAGTGACTAATTAGTGTGGCCAGCTGCTGTCACTGCGCTGCGACACTCCTGTGACAACTGCTGGTGAAACGTTGCAGTCCTCATCTGTGCCCAGCAACAACTCCCTTGCACGATCGAACCTCGGCTGGGTTGGCTCATATCCAAAAAACGCAACAGGAAGTCATATGTCGTCGTCGTCGTCGTCGTCGTCATCATCATCATCATTATCATCATCATCATCATCATCATCATCATCATTTTCATTTTCGAATGGCCATCACGGAAACATCACTAACACTGACATCGCTAATTCGTTGAGACATGAGACATCACCATACAAATCTCTGCAGATCTCAGCAGCGCCATGCAATGGGCATCAGTTTAGTTGTGCTGCCCATGAAGCAGGAGGCTATGGGAAAAAGCCGGGAAGCTACCGGCTATACACACCGGGAAGTTACTGGAAACCAATCAGCTAAATGCAAACGGAAAAACCGGTCATTGTGAGCACTGCCACAATTTTGCTGCCTTCCTTCCGATCCTTCGGAAAAGTGGAGCGCTGCAAACATATCCCACATACCTTGAGTCCGTGAATCAAGTATCATCCTATGTTGAGATACAATTAATATAATATATATATATATATCAATATCTGGGAATGGGAGATATAATTAAGGAAATACCCAGCCAGAAGTCACAAAACAAGTCTCTTCGAATCCACACAAAATAGTCTGGTCCCCCACACACGCAAAGAGGTTGACCTGCTTGCGTCCCTGCATATGGGCTAGGTTCCAGAGCTTCCTTCAAATGATTATGCAACGGTTATTTTTCAACTTCAACAGGACATGGAACTGTCGTCCTGCAGCTCGTCCAAGATGGGAGCGAATTTTGCCAGGAACGCCGGTCGCGGTCCTGCCGCCATGTTTCGTCAAGCACGGTAAAACATGGTAAAACCAACAAATCTGGATTTACCATGATTTACCAACCTACTTCAACTGTCTAACATGTCGTCGTTGTCACGCAACTGCTTAAATTGACAAGGCCGCCATGCTTCCGAATGAACCCATCGGGCCTGACTCTAAGCCCTTGAGGCTGAGTCTGAACAAATTGAGCCAAACAGCAAAAATATGTTGTGAAGTTCTGACTCAATGATCTCAATGCTCTATTTGTGAGTTCATATCGTTTCATATCTGTGATATCTGTCATATCATCGAGCTTCGCCCGTGCACCGAGGCCGCTGCCACAAGTTTGTATGGCAGTTTCTTGCCCAAAAAATGGGCATGTCATGCCATATGGAAAAACAATGAAAAGCACAGTCGCTGGAGAACCCCAGGACAAGTTTAACACTAATGCGGGCAGCACCCCCTGTCTAGAGTCGACAAGATATCGGACAAGAACTGCGTCACGAACCCAAATTGAGGCTATGTTGTGTTCCCAAAGGCATCCTAAAAGATTGAAAACCCACCATCAGGCTAGAATTTGATTGCATTATATATACACATTGTGAATTGTGCTCCACACATTCATGCACATTCCAGGTGGACATTAGCATTTTACTTTTCCATCATTTTGGCCTTCCGGCCCAATTGCCCCATAGGGTCAGGGAATGCCTTAGGCTTTGAGCTAGTGACTACATGTCCTGCCACCCCGCTGTGAAAAGGGTGGCCCTTTGCTTTTGCATCTTGGTCTTTGCGATTTGGTCTTTGCGAGTTACCAACCAACATTGGTAGCGGAGCGTTGCGCTCCAGAGCCCTTCTACCTCACTACAACCTGGACACCTTCACCTACCAGATCAACTACGCCCATCCACTGCGCTACTACAACCTCATCACCCTCTACTACCTCCCTTGGTCTTTGTCTCTGAGGATGCCGTCATCTGGAGATGGAGCTACATCGACTTCGAGCACTACCGGCATGGAGCTGCTGAAGGACACCTACATCCCAGTGTTCAACAACAAACCTGGTGATTACCGTGAATGGCGCCAACGTATTGGCCTTTACCGCCGAAAGCTGGAGCTACAAGGAAAAGGGAAAGAAGCTGTGCTCAACGTCCTGACCAGCTTGCATGGCGTGGCCTGGCGACAGTTGGAGCCGAAGGTGGAGACGATTTTGTCGAAAGATGAGGGTGCCTTTGACCTCATTCTCAGTGAGTTGGACTCTACGTTCCGCTACAACGAGGATGTCGAGATGCCTCGTGCCTTTGAGAAGTTTTTCTATGGGACAACGAGGCGACCAGAGCAGACCTTGCTGTCCTATGTGGCGGACCATCGAGAAGCACTACATGAAGTTGAAAAACATGGGGTTCAAGTGTCTGACAAGGTGAGCGGCTGGATCCTTTTGAGGCGCTCAGGTCTCTCAGGAGAACAAAAGCAGCTGATCCAAAGTCAATGCCCCAAGCTGTCCTACGACAAGGTTGTGGAGGCGATGTACTTTTTGTTGGGCCAAGACTACAAAGGCAAGTCTCATGATGCGACCACGAAGTGGAACAAGGGACGAACCTATGGGAGATGGTCCAACAGACAGCATGGCTATTTGACCGAGGAGACCTACGACGCCGAGGAGATCTACCCCGAGGACTATGCCTACCAACAATGGGATGACGATGAACTCTATGGTGAAGACTATGGTGATGATTGGGATGAGTCCTACAGCGAGGACACCTACAACGCTGCCGACTATGAGGATGCGGACTTCCCTGACGAGCCCCTGGATGATGGAGGTGAACTTGAGGAGGCATACGCCTCATACCTTGATGCCAGGCGACACTTCGCCCAGATGAAAGCTGCTCGAGGCTACTTCCCTGTCGTTGCCTTGACGGATGGGGGACAATCTATGCCAGCAAGTTCACAGGCACCACGAAGCCCTTTGAAAGGCAAAAGCAAGGGCAAAGGCAAGGGCAAGATCAAGGGGAAGCCATCCCTGCGACAATCCAATCCACCACAACGTGGTTCTGCTGCCTCAAGGGCCAATGCTACGCGATGTCTACGTTGTGGACAAGTTGGACATTGGGCGGCAAACTGCACTTCACCTACATCAAAGGCGAGCCCTACGTCATCGACTACCTCCTCACCTTCAAAGAAGGCTAAGACGGAATCAACTATGATGGTGCGCGACCTGGCCAAGCAAGTCCCCAAGGGATTGCCATTGCTTGGCAACGATGGTTTCTTTGGAATCCAAGATGGTGGTGCATCGTCTGTGGTTTGTGGCCATGACGTCTTGATGAACATCGTGGACCACCTGGTGATGCGAGGCGTGCCCATCGAGCGCTTCATGTTCATGGCGACCAACAAGCTGTTTGGCTTTGGGGGTGACGCCAACCGAAAATCAGACTGGTCTGTTAGACTTCCAGTCTACATCGAAGGCCAACCAGGCTACATCGAGACCTTCATCGTCGAGGGCAGTACGCCTCTCTTGATCGGCCGACCGATCTTGCAGGCGCTCAACATCAAGATTGACTACAACCAGAACAAGATCTCTGTCCAAGACGGTGAATGGAAAGACACCACAATGGGTGAGAAAGGAGAGTACCTTCTTCAACTGGACCATGGATTGGAAGATGACCCTGAAGGACATCACATTGCCTTCGACTATGTCACCAGCGAGACCTGCACAGCGATCAACAACTATGACGACCTGGCTGACTACATCAACATCCATGAGTACCTCTCCATGACCAACCGCAGCCCTCCTGAGAAAGCCTTCTTGGAGGAAGACACAACCTTGGAAGAAACACCCACTGAAAGTTTTGAAGATTTCCAAGAAGATGATCCCGCTGCTGTGAGGCGACCGATCACTGACAAGTTGATCAAAACGATGCACATGGAGTTCAACAGCTTCAACCGGCGTCGCAAAGACACCATTGAACAGGTGTTGCATGCCTACCAGACTGGACGCCGCACCTTTTGGGAAGTCTACAGTGGTTCTGGCAACTTGTCTTCGGTGATGCGGGATTGTGGTTGGGATGTCATGACCTTTGACTACAACACGGGCTGGGATTTTGATGTTGCAGCCCACCGGAAAGAATTTCTTCAACTACAAGACCAAGTTTGCCCTGACTTCATTTGGTACAGCCCCAAATGCACTGATTGGTCCCCTCTCCAACAACTCAATGCCTTGACCGAAGATCGAAAAATGGCACTTCAAGCTGAGCGCGACTACCACGAGAAGGTCCACTTGAAGATGTGTCGCCGAAGCTACTTGAAGCAGAGGCGTGAAGGAAGGCATGCCGCCTTGGAGCAGCCAAGGTATGCACTCAGCTGGAAGACGACCACCCTGCATGATCTTCCAGGATATCAATGCAACTTGGACCAGTGCCAGTTTGAAGTGATGATGGCGGATGAGAATGGGATGGACCAATATATCAAGAAACCAACACGACTGCAATGCACGGACGAGCACATGGCCAACGAGCTCTCACTCTTGTGCCCAGGTGACCACTACCATTTGCCAATTGAGGGCAGTTCACCTGGAGTTGGCAACCGTGCTGCTGCTTCTGCAGTTTATCAAGGAGTTTTCTGCAGCTGCATCGTTCAGGCAATCATCAACCTCTTCATCAACCAGGAGCATGAGCAGACCTTGATGACCCACGAGCGTATTCATGCAGGTGATGACATGGCCAATGAGACCTCACTTCCTCCGGAGCTTGACTTCGAGAACTTGTCCGAGGTTTGGCCTGACACACCATCTCCTGAACAAGATCAACATGCTGAAGTTCGACAACGCCGTGGAGTCCTTCAACGTTTGGATGAATGTGACCGCCAAGCTGCCAAGAGGACAATCACCAAGCTCCACCGCAACTTGGGCCATCCATCCAACAAAGAGCTCATCAGGTTGCTGAAGACCAAGAATGCTGGACCTGCTCTACTACAAGCTGCCCAAGATCATGAATGTGGTCTATGTGACCTTCACAGACGTCCTAGTGGAGTACCCGTGTCAAGCATGCCCAAGGACACCACCTTCAATCAAAGAGTTCAAGCTGACACTCTATGGGTGAAAGTTCCTGGGGCGAAGCACAAGCTTCCTGTGCTGATGATGTCAGATGCTCACACGCGACTTCTTGCAGCTCGCTTCATCAAGGCCGAGACCTCTGAGGAGTACATCAAGCAGATTGAAGCTGCCTGGATCAGCTTCTTTGGACCCATGAAGACCCTGCAGGTTGATGAACACAGGGCTTGGGCATCAGATGCCATGCGAGAATGGACGACTGAACATGGGATCCAATTGGTGATTTCTCCTGGGCAATCTCATACAAGATTGGCCATTTTGGAGCGAAGGCATCAGGTGACAAGGAGGGCGATTTCCCTCTTCCTGGAATCCAACCCTGGTGTCGCTGCTGACAAGGACGCCCTCATCATTGCCTTGACCTACATTGTGCCGCAGCTGAACAGGATCCCAAATGTGCATGGATACAGCCCCATACAATGGGTGCTGGGCTACACACCACATGTGCCCGGCTTGCTGTCTGAGGAATCTTCCCTCAGCAATCCAGCACACCTTGACCCCTCCGAGAAGTTCATGGAGAAGCTGCGCTTGCGACAAGAGGCCAACAAGGCCATGATTGAGGCCGACACTGACTTCCGCCTGAGACGTGCCCTGCTGCGCAAGTACATGGGCCAACCTGTTGTTCTTCAACCAGGCGACTTGTGCTACTACTGGAGAGACACTCCAGCAGGATCTACTGCAAAGCTGAAATGGCGTGGACCAGCCACTGTCATCATGAGGGAACAAGGTCAACATGGCCACCACACCGACATCTACTGGATTGCTCATGGAACAGTTCTCCTACGTGCAGCTCCTGAACATGTCAAAGCTGCCACACCAGTCCAAGATCTCACAGAACGACCTCGAGATCCCTTGGACACAGCAAAGCAGTCTCTGTCCAACATCAGAGGCCGTGGTGTGACGCAGTACATTGACCTCCCCAAGAGCAACAAGCGCAGACGCGATGAAGTTGCCACTGATGAGGAGGAGGACGAGCACGATGAGGACATGCAACAATATCCAGGACAAGAGCTACCACCAGACAGGTGGAATGTGTCAGAAGATGGAAGACTTTGGACTCGAATCCACAACATTCCAAGACGCAAG